GGCTGTTGGCCAAAGGCCCTCCGATGCCTAAGTCAGTTCAATCGATCTGAAGAGAAACGATAGCTAAAATAGGGTACGGGAATATGTAAGTGTGGTAAAAACCGGGTGGCCGGAGCCGTGAGTGGTGGCCGGAGCCTTGTGTAAAAAGGGAGAGAGAGAGTGGTGGCTAGGGTTTCTGAGAGATAATTTCTGCAGAGTTTCAGTAGGAGTTTAGACGTACCTCAACCCTTGTGTGTGGCCATCCTTTTATAGAGGTCTCGGGGGCTAGGGTTCCAGAGGAATAATTCCGTAGATGGAAGGGAATTATTCCTCCCCAATTTGGCGAGATTTGACTAATTAGGGATTTGATTTATTTGATTTAAATCAAATCCCTAATCAGGGTAGCAATCAAATCAATACCTAATTTAATTAGGTAACTACTCCAATTGAGAATATTCGTAGGAATCAAATCAATCCTCAACCTAATTAGGTAACATTCTATTTAATTGGGTAATCCCCAATTAAATTGAATAATTCCCAATTAGGTCAAATAATCCCCAAATGGAAGGAATTATTTGACCTAGGGTTACGAATTAATTCGGTTCCCACAAGAACGATGTTGCTGTTGGAGTTGCGAGGAGTTTGGTGACTCCCAGGGATGTGGGTGTACTTGGAATGAGGGATGATAAGCGGGTGGTGAGTGATGCCATGGCACTAAGCGTGCAAAGTACGACATCTGTTGCAAGTGTGGGGCATCGCCTCATTGTGAAATCCCATGAGGTAGAGGTGCTAAAAGCTCAGTTGGTTGTAGAGCGGAATTTGGTTGAAGATTATCAACCCGTGATAAGGAGTTTGAAGGAGAGGGCAAATATAGTGGAGGCGAATCGACATCAGCTTTAAATATTGCAGGAAGAGAATCAAAAACTATCAAAGATGGTAGATTTTTACTCTCAAGACATGCAAAAACAGCTGGAGGCCCTGGATCGACCGGGTAAACACAAGCATCGAGATCACAACATAAGTTATGCTCAAGCTAAGGGTGTGATCTTTGGGTGCTCAAGTGATGAGCCCCAAAAAGTTGTGCGTGACCAAGAGAAGAGATCCATAGGGCCAAACTAAAGGCTCCTATTGTGGAATCAAGAAGCACGCCCTAATGTTATTTTTTTAATTTAATGTAATCTCATGTTTCATCTTAAAAAAAAGAAAAGAAAAGAAATAACTTGTTTATTAACCTGATGTAGTCTCATGTTTCCTGTTTTTAATGTTTCCCCTTTTTAAATTGGAAATTAGGAATGAGTAAACAGGTTATTAACCAGGTAACCTGTTTAAGATGACCCGAACCTGACACGACACGTTTATTAAATGGGTTGTGTTTGAGTTGAGTATTCTTAACACGTTTATTATCCCAATATGACCCAACCCATTGCCATGCCTAATAATATGTAGCTATTTTATGATTATAGTACAATCACACAAAACATAGTGACATCCAACACCATAAAACAAAACAAAACAACGAAAAAAAGGGTAAAGAAAAGAGACAAGGATGGTAGCCACTTATGGAGCTTGTTGTTATCAACATCATCACATACAATAACATCGTCAAAAACTTCACACCTGTCCGTGGCTTGAGAGAGAGAGAGAGAGAGAGAGAGAGAGAGACGATCAGCATGGGATAAAGGTGAGGAGAGTCCCGGGTATCAGGTTGTGAATGGCAGGAAAACATGTGAAATAGAGCTCGTGACAATCTAAAATGTTGTGAGGTGGGTATGGTATGCTTGGTCTTCTTGGAGCACCTCTCCCTCTGTATTTAAACCATTAGAACAAAGAATCCTAGGGAGAGTGTCAGTCTTCATTCAAAGAATTCACTTCCTTCCATCACTTTATAGGTCAAAGCATTTTAGCTTAGCCAGAATTCCAGTCACCACCACAACATTAAAAGCACCCAATTTTCTCTTTTAGACAACATTAAAACTATCTTGTCAACCTTCTTTTTTCTCAAGGTAAACAGCTGCTAGGACAATAATCCACTTCCAAATTTTTTTGCTCAGCTGCTAGGGCAGCATGTGGAAGAGCATAGTATTTACATGGTTCTTGTTTATTATTATTTTTAGACCAAATTGAAATTTTGTGTAAAATCTAGTTACCAAAAATGTATTTAATTCAGCCACTTAACAGCGGCACATCTATAAATTGGAAGCTTTGGTTAATATAGTGACCAATTTGGCTAATTTTTTTTTTCTCAGCACCTAAATTGAAATTTCATGTAAAATTCAGTTTAAAAAAAATACAAACGAAGTCTAAACTACAATTTCTCACACACACAACCAAGTTGCCATGAGGTTTCGAACCTGAAATCACTGTTTGCAAGTCAATGCCTTTTTCCACTGAGCTAGACCCCATTGACAAGGTTTTAACCCTTTTAATTTTTATCGAAAACATTATATTCGTCTCTCCATTTGGTCATAGTTAGAAAACTACATAGTTTCTACTAGGTTAATCCTTTTTATTTTTATTTTTTAATGATGGCCTAACAAATGCACGATTCGGATAATAGGACCACAAAAAATGTCTCTTGCTAAATGCTGGCATTACCAATGTTCTCTTGCTAGATACTTGTACATTTATACAAAGGAAAAGGTGGATAAAAAAATCCAATGAGCCAATCAATATTAACATTTCAGCCATCTTCCATTCATACATGCATGCATATATACCCCCATCACACATGCCATGATGCCATTTATATTTGGAATTGTCTTGCAAAGGTCAAAACAAAGAGGGTGAGAAAAAGAAAAAGAAATAATAGATTCACACTCACCAATCGCTATAAGGTATATAGAGTACAGAGCAACAACGGTCACATGCATGAGCTTGAAAACTTTGCCAAACGTGACAACATTTAAACCAAACTGCACTCTCATTCACTACATATCCCGCGCCTTTCCACCAATCTAATACACACTCCCAAGCTTCAACTCCACTCTCACTCTCTCACTCTCACTCTCAACTGAGCTTTTCTAATCCTCCAAGAAAAAAGGCCATGGAAAACTGCAGAAAATCTCCGTTGAAGCCATGGAAGAAAGGCCCAACAAGAGGCAAAGGTGGCCCTCAGAACGCGTCATGTGAATACCGCGGCGTTCGGCAAAGAACTTGGGGCAAATGGGTTGCTGAAATCAGAGAACCAAAGAAGAGAACCAGGCTCTGGTTGGGCTCTTTTGCCACGGCAGAAGAAGCTGCCATGGCTTATGATGATGCTGCCAGGAGACTCTATGGTCCGGATGCTTTTCTCAATCTTCCTCACCTCCAAGCCAGCTTCAATCCTGCACTCAAATCTCAAAAGTTCAAATGGTTCCCTTCCCAAAATTTCATTTCCATGTTTCCTTCTTGTGGTTTGCTCAATATTAATGCCCAACCAAGTGTTCATGTCATTCATCAGAGGCTCCAAGAACTTAAGCAAAATGGGGTTCTTGGTCAAACTACTCCTTCCTCTAGTTCTTCTTCCAATGATTCTAAACCTGAGGTTCACATCATAAGCGACAAAACCCAGATAGGAAGTGTTGCAGAGAAGGAGAAAGATGTAGAAATTTCATCAGAAAAAATGATTGAAGACAACTGGGAGAAGCCGCAGATTGATCTCAATGAGTTTCTTCAGCAACTGGGGGTACTGGAAAAAGAGAGACAATCAGAGGCAATTGGCACCGCAGGAAATTTTGGAGTCCCAGAATCTTCAGTTACAGAACTTGACGATGAATTTGGACCCTTTACTGATAAGAATTTCAATTGGGATGCATTGACTGAGATGCATGGTATTTCAG